AGCAACTCAAAAGAACGCAAGGAGAGGTCACCATGAGTTGCATCCAACTAGATGGCAGTGGGTTTACAGGGAGGGTGGAACAACTTAGAAAAGCAGGGTGGGAATAGTTGCACAACTTAAAAGAATCCAATCAGTTTTACTAAATTGTATGTGTAGAAACTGTTGAGTTGGCATGTTTTGCTGTGTATATTCTGAACAACAAAATACGTAAACTTTAGGGGGGAAAAAAAGAATATCACTCATGAGTATTATGCTCCTTTAAAAAATCATCTATATGAGACCAAATACTCACCCATTATTTTGAAGCAAAGATAAGAATGTGTGGGGGCAGAGAAACAGGATTAATGGAAATGGAACAACCAAAATGGAAATAATGAGAATGTTCACTCATTTGTGAAGAATGTAACCAATGTCACAAAACAATTTGTATAGAAACTGATGAACGGGAACCTAAACTGCTGTGTAAACTTCTAAAACTATAATATTTTTTAAAAATGTTAGGGTAGGTGGGATGAATTGAAGGCAGATGCACACATTGATATATCAGCAGTCTGAAAAAGAGTCTTAAAATAATCTTAAAAAGGGAAATCATCCAATATGTTGGTAAAGTTTTAGGCACATAAGTGCCAATATTACTTATTTTAGTGGAAAATAGCAACAATCTATATGTTCAATACTAAGAGGTCATGAAAGAAATTTTAGTGTGGACAAATGATATAATGATTAATAGTTTTATTTTCTACACAACTACTAATAAAATGTAAAAATGCTTATGTTATATCTTACATTATGTGAAAAATAAATGGATAAAAATGTCTATTTACTTAAAAAAAGAAAGAAAGAGAAAACACCTAACAATAAGTAGTTATAGTACAAATCTTAACAATCATGAAGATCTGACTTGGTAAAAGCCCCCAAGGCTTTTTAAGTCAAAACACCTGGGGTAGATTCCTGTGTTGACACTACATAGTTGTCTGTCTTTGGGAATGTCACTTAAAATTTTCATTATATTTCAACTCTCCAGTGTTTATAAAGAAAAAGAAGACAATACCACTACCACCTATCTAGTAAGGTGACATACAATTTCTCAACTAAACCAAAATACTTTTAAGAGTAAAAGTTTGCCATTAATAATTTCTGCAAGGACAACAGGATACGAGGTACTTGAATGGATATCTTTAAATGTTTGGATCATTCCAGATACACAATAAAGTTAACTGAATGCGAACCTACTTCTTGGTGATTTTATTTGGCCACACTACAAACAGAATAGTCAGGTCATGGTTGGTCAAGAAATGAGATCTGGACCATAAGAAATACGTGTATGCAAGTTAGTAGACTGTGATTAATTGGGAAGTCAAGACACTTTCAACATATCTCTTCATTACTTGGGAGCTCTGGTAGCATAGTGGCTAAGACACTTGCCTGCTAACCAGACGGCTGGCGGTTCAAACCCACCAGCCACTCCTCGGAAGGAAGGTTGGGCAATCCTACTTCCGTAGTGATACTGCCTCGGAAACCCAAGGAGGGGTCGCTATGAGTCGGGGGCCGACTTGATGGCAAACAACAACAACTTCATTACTTTGTTAGTTTACTGTGTCCTTTCAAACAGCTTCACTGGTATTATGAAAATAAAAACAATTAGCCTAATAATAGTGAATATAACGACAACCTGTTCTATTAGCCAGACTTAAAAATAAACATATAACATGAAAAAAAGTTCTTATATATATTTTAGAAGAAAGGAAAATTTATGTAATGGATTTCAATATTTCCTCTGCTTTGAATGTTACAATTTATTTTAGGAAGAGTGGTCAGAAACAAGGCTTTGATTTTTTTTTTTTTTTTTTTTGTTCCCAGATAACCATGCTGAAGTCCTAGTCTCAGAAATCTGAGTAAAGTTAAGAGAGAATAAAATATATGAGTGGTATAAATGTGGTTAAAATGTACAACCAGTTTTTTAACAAAATTGTGCACTGTAACCTAACCTTGTACTTCTATCACTGTCAGCACAAAAAACATGGCTCCATATATTTTTCATCATTTTTAATAGTAACTTTAAAATAACACTTGAAAGTCTTATCATCCTACGATTATTAGCAATACATAGTTCAATTTCAAGATCAAATAATTTCTTTTCCCAGTTTGTATACTTATTTTATGCATCTATGAATAGGTAAAAATCTTCCACCATACATTACCTCCTGTTTAAAATGGCTAGGGGTTTATAATTTAAACAAAGAACTTTCCCCAGGCAAAACTATAAACCACTTCCTTGTTATGGCAAAAATATAACCTTTGCTATAACCCTGGATTTAAACTGAGTATATCAAATAAAATAATTTGCACATGATTACTTTACTTAAGCCAGCAGAGTCTCAATCAATACTTAAAAATTCCTCATCATTAGGAATATTCTGGAAAATGTGAGATGATGATTATACGTTACATGATTATTTTTTAATACATCATGATTATGCCCTTGGAGATACACTGACAATCAAGGAAGTTTCCACAGGGGAAAAAAATCTTTAATTACCAGTCAAGTGTAACACAGAAAGCAAAAGGTGGGAGACAATGCAGTTTATGAAACTAGATATGAACCCCACCATACTTTCAGGGTTAATAGGTGATTGAAGCCATCAACTTTCATTTTAAAAATTCTAATATGTATTGCTCATTCAATATAATAGTGACATTGCAGCTCTCATGAGACACCCAGCACTGCATTTGAAAAGGGAGCCAATTAATTTTCCCTTTTCCTGGGTCATGGAAGACATGACTTAAGATATTTTCTTATTTATACAAGTTGATAATAAAATAAGGAGACAGTCATTTTTGTTTGAGTCATAAATGCATCAAAACAAATAAATCTGAAGGTTCATAATGATCCTCTCTCTATCTTATTTCTATATGTATTTCAAACGTGTATCTGATACTCAAAACAGATATGGAACCCTTTCTTTGAAATTACCTCGTATAATTACCCTAAAAACAACAAACTCATATTTAATAATGCATGTTTATTCTGGTTATGCCATTTATTGTGTATATAAAACAAAACAAAACAAAAAAAAACTGTTGCCTTAGTGCTGATTCCGACTCATACGCATACTCATAGTACAAAGTAGAGTGGCACCATAGTGTTTCCAAAGCTGTAATCTTAACAGAAGAGATGCTCTGGTGAGTTCAAATTGCCAGCTTTTTGGTTAGCAGCTGAGCACTTAACCACTGCATCACCAGGGCTCCTTCGCTATGAATATAAAACCCACTGTTGTCAAGTTGACTCCCACTCATAGTGACCCTGAAGGACAGAGCAGAACTGTTCCATAGGGTTTCAAAGGCTTTACATCTTTACAGAAGCAGACTGGCACATCTTTCTAGGCAGAGTGGCTGGTGGGCTCCAATTGCCAACTTTTACTTAGCAGCCTAGTACTAAACCACTGTGCCATAGGATTCCTCTACCACCTCTATAGCATAGCTAGATCATTTTAATTTTCTGTACTTCAGTTTCCTTACCTAAGAAATTAGGATAAAATGTACCCTTGTTTACCTCACAAAGAGTCATAAAGATTAACTTATTTCCTTGTAATTATAAAGTAGTTGTTAGTATTTAAAAAATGTGGAAACTGAGGTTACACTCAGCTAGTAAGTGGCAAAGGCGGAACTGAATCTTGGTGTATCTGATTCTA